CCCCCCAGTATGGATGGTATTAGGTGAAAGACTAAATTACTGCAAGCGATTTTAATAAACAGGCCTTCTGTAGATGTTTGAAGAGGTACCTGTAGTTGTTCTCTTTGTAATAAGTATGAACATCTGCTGTATTTATATCAGTAATTATTTGGTGAAAATTTGCTTCTAGAGAGTCTGGAAAAGTCAATAGAGCAAGCTAAGACTACTGTGGTGACATATCACAAAGATTGGTAGATTCATCGGGAGATTAAGTGTTGTGTTGTATGGGTTTTTTGTTTGGGTGCTTTACTGTTGAATGAATAATTTGGCTGTCAAATTTGGCTGTTCAGTTTTTCCTGCACTGAGAGTGGTGAATACTGAGATATGCAACATGTATTGGGTGTACAAGTGTTCCCTGGGATGATTTACTTCTTGTCCGAGGCATCCTTTTCTTTCTGTTTTACGTAAGGAAAACTGTTGCTTAGGTAGAGCCGGGGCTAGAAACCAGCAGTCTGACCACGTGGCTGCACTGTTTCTTATTCAGGATGTGTCCTTGGTTTGTCTGTTTGATGTTAAGATTAACTCGATCTGTTTTGGTTTATTTCTCCTTGTGTCTGTCACTAACCTTAATGCCTCTTTCTTTTCCCATTCCGGCTCTCCAGTGAAGTAACAACCACTGGTCTTACAGCTGGTAGTCCTGTAGTCATGGGATGTTTTTGCACTCTTATGTGTTGTCTTTCATCTGTATATTACTGCTGTTGACTATTTTTCTCTATTATGAATCTTGAAAGTCTGAGTTGTTAGTGCTTCACTGAGGTTTCAGGGCCCAAGGTATGTCAGGGGTTTTTTGTACTAGCTGAGGAAAAAATGCGTTTTATGGTTATCTCCAACATGTGTGGCTTGCAGTTCCCTGTTCTGTAAAAATACTGTGACTTTTAATTTCTGTTGATTTTTGGGTCTTTGTTCGTTTTCCAGTTCCTTTCTTTGTCTCCCTTTTGTGTTTTGATGATGAAATAAGGAGAGAAAAAGTGTTTTCTTTATCTTTCATTTCTTCTTTAAGCTTAAACCCTAGTATTGTACATTCAAAAGTCTTTCTTTTAACCTTCAATTTCTTTGTTACTCAACCTTACTACCCTGCTGATGCAAATTACCATTGTTTTTTTCTTTTCTGTTTTCTTGGCTTATAACCATCCCTTTTAATACCTAAAAGTCTTTAGTTTCTCCTTCGCCTAAGACTTTGAAGAATACTTCTATTCTGCATTCAAAAGGCTTGTTGAAAATGTGTTCTTAAATGTGCTTTGGGAGAAAATTCTCTGGTTTGGTTCAGGATTTTTGAAACAAGCTCATACCTAAAAAAGATAGAGGGAAGCCTGAAACTCAGAGGGATTTATAAAATTTACTAGTCCCCCAGGACTGCAGGTTAAATAGCTGTGTTTGAAGAACACCTGCAAAATTCACTGTTTTGAAGACCTTCTCTACTCCTTTCATGACTGTGGACAGACAAGTTCTCAATGCGTTTAGCTAGAGGCAAAAGCAGAAGTCAGCTTCAAATCACCGCTTTGCAGAGTTGCAAATAAAGGGTTCCATAAAATACTGCACTGAAACTGGTCATCGCCTGAGTATGGAAGTGCTAGTAATCTTAAAGGACTGTGTACAACCCTAACTCTGCTCTAGCTCATGTGTAAGTAAAGGGCATGGGCAGTGGACTAGCACGTTACCTATGCAAGAATAAGCTGTGTCTTTATGACCAAAGCATTTGTAGCCGTGAGTGTGCCTTGCAGAGTGTATTACAATGAGGTGAACTGGTGTGCAGAAGTCGCAGCTTGGGTCTGCGGTTCTGCGCCAGTCATTGCACACGCTGTAGCTCTGGGTTACTTTCTGTGCTATTGCTGTTTTGTGTATTGAGACATGCCACGAAATAATCAGGACTGGCGTGGAGCTGGGTTGTTTGACTGAAAAAGCTAAAATACTGAACCTGAAATGAGAAAAAAAACTTACTTGTTTAAAAAACCTGACTCCAGATTTTGACGTGATCGGATACCTGTGGGTGTTTCCAGCTGGAACATTTTGCTGTTGGGAGGTTCAGCCACAGTTCCTTCCTTTGGCAGCAAGGAGAACCTGACTGGACTTTTAGGATGTAGTTGGGTAGCTACACCAACACTGTCATAACTAAGGAAAAAAATCTTTCAAGAGTTTATTTGAATTTTTGGCTAACTATAAACAGTTCAGTGTTTGTGTACACCTTGGGGTGGCTTTCCTCTATTTGGAGATGACTGAATTGGTGGGAGGAAAAGAATTCATGAATAAAGTGTAATGTTTGAGGCAAGTGCTCTATTTTCAATCTCATACTTAAAAAGGAATTGGAAATTAAAGTTCTTGGCAAGATACACAAAACTTATTCAGTGAGTCTAAATCTGGAACATAGAGGAGAGCTGTGCAATGTGAAGGGCATTGTATTTTTCTGATGAACAGAATACGGTTTGATAAATCTTGTGACTAGATGAAATGATTGTTCTTGCTTTCTCTTAAAAATGTGTGTTGTCTTTATTAACCCTTCCCCTGGATCTGTTCCAGTCTTGCACAAAAACAGTCTTTCTCCAGAACTGAAAGTTTATTTTTGTCTAGAATAGCTGCATTTGAACCTGTTACTTTAAAAAAACAAACAAACAAAAAAAAACCAAAACAAAAAACCTACCTTTATTCTCTTAGGGGAAGAAATTTAGTAATTACTTTCTTAATTGAGCATAACCTGGATGATAATTCTTCTCCGAATGCATGTCACTTAAAACAGGATAGGCAGATTGTTTAAGAATAAAAATGTAAAAAATACTGGTGAGTGCAATAGAGCTGGTTTAAGTTCAGGTGACTGACACATTCTGCAGATGGAGTGCCAGGAAACAAAATGTGATGCAAATATTGACCCTGCTAACAGCATGCTGAATGATGACATTATAATTCTATCAGATGCATTCTCTGTCATGAGCATCATTTTGATTTCATTTTAGCTTGACATTTAACTTTCTCTCTTTTTTTAAAAAAATAAAATCAGAATAAACATGAAAGCATTTGATTTGTTAAAATGTGTCTTTCTAATCTCTACATGAAAACATTTGCTTTGGCAGTCAAGGTACCAGATGCTATAATATTTCACATGAAATCTTTATTATTAGCTTTGTTGTTCAATGATATGTCAGGGCTGGTATGTCACAGGAGCAGTAAGGCTGAGGAATATAAATTGGTACTATGTCCTGGAGTCATTTTAAACCATTGTATTTAACATATGTGACATGTCTGAGTTAGCTAGTGATTGAATTAAAGTTCATGATTGACACAGAATGCTCTGTTGTGACAGTGCTCAGGGCCTGCTACATACAGCAACATGTGTAGTCACACAGGAATGTCAACTTCTAGGGATTTTTTTTTTTCCACTTTGAAGTATTTTGGAAGGGAAAATGAAATCTAAAAATGTGTGGTTTTTATTTGTAACTACTTCTAACTGTTATTCTGTTTCTAAAATCTCTTGACCAGTGAGCTTTCTTAATAAATACTTTAAGGATTGCTTTAGGTGAACACTCATCATCTTCTTAGAGAGGTTAGACTAGTAGATACCCACCAGTATCCTCCAGGATCCATCACTTGTGTTGTGATCTTGGTTTTAAATGTAGAGCCACAGACTTCTGTGTAACGTAGAACTCTTTGCGTGCAGATAGCATGCGTGCAACCAGATTTAGCTTTAGGTCGTGAATATACAGTTGTGTACACAAGACTCTGCCAGAAATGTGTGCCTACATTTTAAGACTGGAGCATTAATATTAACGTAAAGAGTGTGCCTACAATATTTTCAGCTATTTATGAACTAGGTGTGAATAACTCAAAAATTCATCCTCTTTCAAATTAGGCTAGTTACCTTTGTCACAAGTTCTGATTCATAATTGATTTTAAATTTGGATTGATCTCGGGAAGCAAAATGAAGCCAGAAGCTTAGAACTAACTTTTTCCCTTTCTGATCTCTAGTTCTGATTGGAATCACTTTTCAATTCATTTATTGAGTTTTAATTTGGGTTATTAAACAAGATTATTCCACCAACTAAATTCACGCTGACTTGTATCTTAAGTGTGTTTAAGATAAAACTGGACTTTGAGATTGTAGACTCCAGGGAAAAACATATTATTTGTTATACCATGGCATGATTTAATCTATGTTTAAATTGTGGATGTTATCTGTACATGCTGGTACTTTGTGAACTGATTTACTGTACCACCATCATGACTTGCTACAGAATGTCAAACAAGCACGCACACAAATGTTGATAAGTTTATCTTTTGGATATTTTGTGTGTCATCTGTCTCTGCCATTTATGTTTGCACTCAGATTCTGGCCATTAACCGAGGGGAAAATCTGAAGATCCTGACAGTGAAGGTCAACATTCCTGACGGGGTGAAGAATGAATTCTGTTGGTGGTGTGTCAATGAAAGGTCTGCATGGATACATATTCTTACAGAAATCTTTTTTTTCCCTAGACAGCTGCATACTGAAATGTACCTCACATGTCTTGTTACATTAGGAGAACAATTTAAACGAATACTTATTAGATTAGATGAAATTAGCAAGTGGATAATTCTTATTCTGTGTTTCTAACTGGTGTAGCATTATGCTGAAAAGATCATGCCTGTGGCCGTATTTGGGGAGTTCTGGCACCATTCTTCAAGCAATTGAATTTTTTAAAATGTTGGGTGATTCTTTCATTTCCTACTGATTTGGTCTTACAAGTTTGCTTTTTTTAAGCCTATAGTAAGATGTTTAGTGTTGCATAACTTTTGAGGGTTTTTTGCAAAAGTTTAGGTTAAATATATGTTGTTTTGTGCAATATCTCTTGTCAGTCTTTTTTCTTGGAAACTGCACCTTGATATCCTCTGTTGGAGAATATTGTGATCCAAACTGTCCATCTTCCTTGCGTGTATAAAAGACAGGTTTCTCTTTCTCAACAGTTTGAGTTATTGGGCATTGTTCTCAGGATGTCTTAGAAACTCCTATCTTTGCATCCTAAAATTAAATAACCAAAAGGAGAAAATAAGGATAGGAGAAGATGCACTTTTTTAAATGTATAAAATTGTATGGTGTGATACTGCTTTAGCATGTATTTTTCTTCCACACCAAGTCCAAGAAAGGGGTGTGCTAAAAATGTTCCTTTTCAATGTAGAAATTTAATAGTTCTGTTTCCAAGACAGAAGCCTCCAAAATAGTTAAAATATTGTTTGGCCAGATAACATAGTATGATCTAAGACTAATAGTAAGTAACTTTTTTTTTTCAGGAAACTATCAGGATTCATAAAACTAGAATAAAACTTAGGTGTATTTAATACCTATAATGGGATTTCTGTCCCTCCCCCCAAGACGTATATTCTGTAGGCAGAACATGTCTGTCAGTCTTTCTTTTACTGTGTCTGTGACAGAATTTGGAAGCACTGTGAGCCACAGATAATGGAACAGCTTGTCACTGCTATACAAATGAAAGTGGGATGTAAATTGAGGTATTTTTGGTTGATTACACTTTCATGAGTCATCTTGAGATAAAAAGAATATTGACCCTGGAAATGGAACTACTTATTAATACTTAGCATTCATGAGGCTATATATACTTATGGCTTTTTACTATCTAAGGACAACTTCTCCACCAGCAGAAAACTTTGGAAGGAATGATTTTAGTAGAACTTGGTGCATTAACATCTAGGACAGATTCTGATCTTCCTCATTAGATTGAAAACTGTGTTATCAAATTGACAAATAGTAATTGTATACTCTGCCCTGCAAGTTTGGAAATGACTGTCCGAGGGTGGGAGTTGCATTATTTTCATTGCATCGATTTACTGGTGAGAGCAGAAGGCTAAGAACTTCTGTTTGAGGCAAGGATTTCAAAACTTCACAAAGGTATTAACTAATTTACTGAAGGTCACACACAATATCAGTTTCAGAACCAGAAATGCCACCTTGCTACAGAGTTTGGCTAGTATTCTAGCCACAAAAGAGTATCACCTACTGCCTATTGAATTAGTAGCAAATATGCAGACCTTTATGTGTTCAGAGGCAAATTTTTTAGCATTAAATGCCCCTGCGATAGAAAGTGGGTTTGGAAGGCTAGAGTTCTTCATTATTGCATTGAGCGCCATGTAGATGCTCTCTAAGATGACTGTATTTTCTTTACAAGTTCAGAATATTTATTAGCCTGTAGAAGCATCTATATTTCCTCGAAATTCAGGTTTGTGCTGAGAACTCAGGCATATCCTTATGCCTGGCCTTATGGATTTTATTTTTCCCCAGAAGATGGCATCTCTGTGGTTTGACAGCAAACCTAGCTCCATTAACACTAGAACTGTACTGCTCCCAAAGACTTAGTTGTGAAGAGGGACATGGAGAAAGGATCAATGAGAAACAGCTGGAGACGGGTTGCTTAGCTAGCTTTGAGTGTAAACACAACATGGAGTTGTTCCTTGGGAAGGGGCAAGATTTTGTTCCGAAGTGGAATTGCAGCCTTGAAAATGAAGTTTGGTGTTTGACAGTCTTTTTTCAGTTGCCAAACAAAATTCTCAGATCCTGTGCAAAGTCCATGGTACAGGCCTTAAAGGCATTCTTTGGCTGTGGTTACCATCTTGGTGCAAGTTTCATATAATGTTTTGGAGGAAAACAGAGCTCTGCTTTTTGTGCTTCAGGTCTAAAAGCCTAACTATGCTCTTCCTGGAACAGTTGTTAATTAATACAAGTGGTGGGCTTGTTAATTCTGTTGTTGTATAGTTTCACCCTCTGAGGTGTATCACTAGTCTAAGCCATTCATGCTTATTGCGGTCCCTGTTGTGAGCACATGCATGTGGAGAGCTGATGAGCAGAGTAAGATGGTAGTATTTATGTGGAGCTTTTCTAAAAAGGGCTTCATTTAAAGGGCTTCAAAAGTCAGCTCTTGATTAAATAATCAAGAAAAATCTGTTCTTAAATGGAAGCTTAACTAAGCTGCGATGATCTTTAAAAATATACACACATGCTTTTGCTTTGTTTTTTTGCAGCGAAGTGGATTTTTCTCTTTCCTCATGAAGTATTGGAATGATTAAAATGCAGTATTTGCTATGATTGAACTTACTGTTTGGATACTTTTGTATTTGTAGCAATTTCTAATAGAATGTTGCCTAGATAATTTTGACTTACATATAGGCAGGTAATAAAAATATCTGCTGTGATTAACCTATTTACAGAGAAAAGGTTTGTTAACTAGCTTTAATGGATGAAAGAGAGGGGAAAACAGCTGCCAGGTTTCCAAATTCATTCTTGTTTGTGCTGAGGATACTTTCTGGGGCAGTATAGTCATACTTGCCACCTGTAAAAACTTCTTTTTTATAGAATTGGATGGCAATAAGAGGGTTTAAAGCCTTTGCCATTTTTATATAGGTATGGAAAGAGTCTCTAGTTACAAATAAGTATAATAGAACTATTTGCAAAAACTGTTAGCAAAGTGATGAGGTCATGTGGCTAAGCACTCACTACTCTGGATGTTGTAAAACTAAATGGTAAGATTAATTCTGCTCCCATGTCTGTCTGCGTGAATGCAGTGTTGGCTCGATCACACATTTCTCAGCTATTATATGCGCAGACACTTAGAAAAGCTGTTTCAGGAAATTGTAGATCCCTTTAAACAACTGAAAAGCCGTCTGGGTAGGAGCACTTTAGGATTCTCAGTATTTCTGAGTGAGTGCAAGTAAACAAAGTCAAAAGTAAAATTCAGTCCTGTTTTTGCCTGGGCTTGCACCTGGACACATTATCAAATGGCCATAATTCTATCATGTTGCATTTAAAAAAAACCCAACCAACCAGCCAAAAAACTTGCAAAACTTACCCAGACATATTAAAAATATGTATGTATCTCACTTTGCAGTTAAGGACCCAGGCATCTAAAAAAAATACACTAAATGAAAAAAACTCTGAATGTTATCAATATTTTAAAAAGAAATAAGAAACAGGTGGACTGTAATAGAAAATGTTCATAGTCTTTCTTTCCTTCTGTTTGAGGAAACGCAACCAGATATACTCAATCTTTCTTCCTTCTCATTGGGTGGACAATCTCAGTGAGTCAGTTGTGCTTGTTCAAGGACTTCCATCCCTGTCTTCCATAGCCACGTTGCCCAAAACAAAAAGATCAATGGAATAAATATCTGGGATCTCTGTCCTGGGGAGCTTTGAAACTGAGGTGTATTTTAGGACAAAACTTGAAGTAATTGTCATTATGGCTGTGACCACTATGCAGAGTCTCCTTAGAAAAGGGAATAATGCTCCAAAAGGTTTCACTTAGAAAATGCTGGGAAATAGTCTTGTGTTTGTTTGGTATTGTTTATTTCATTTTCCCTTTTGCTAGAATATTATTTACACTGTAAATATATCAGTAAGAGGTAAAAGAGAAGAATCATTTGCAAATTGTTTGGGTTTGTGGTAGTGTGCTTTGTGTTTTTTTTTTTTTTTTTTTAAAGGACCGCTGCAAACTTGATAGATTTCATTTTGAGTTTGAATAGAGATACTCAAAGCATTCCAAATGAAATTTGAATTGGGTTTCATTAATTGACATTAGTTTAGCTCTTGAATTTCTCTCTGGGCACAGTTGCCTTATAGCAGTGGCTCTGCAGTGACAGTCACAGAAGCATGTTTAGTCAATTTTTTTTAATGTATCAAAGAATAGCAAATAATGCAACTCTAATAATAATATGGAACCAAGTTCTTCATTCAGTTGTGGTAAGCTTTGACTTCTCAAAGTGACAAGTAACTTTTTTTGATATCTTCTTTAAAACATAAAATATGATTGCATTATAATACCTAACAAAAAAAAAAGATAGGCCTTGTCCCTTGTCTGATAGTAGAGCAACTCATTCCATTCCTATTTGAAGCTCTGATTTCATTGCCTAATTATTGTAGTAATTCTGCAGTTTATAGGACACCACACTCAATGTAGAAGTCTTTGTTTGAAAATTCACTTTTTATCTGAGTTTTTGCATATGTTCTTAAAATATTTTTTTATTTTTCTTTTTCTATTCTTTTGCAGATGGAGACCAAAACAATTTTTAAAACCAGAATTAATGAGGATACTACGGAATTCAGTAGAGGATGCATATAAACGCCTTATATATCCCCTCCTCTGTAGAGAATTCAGGTAAACCCAGAATGAATGTGTATTTTCATACATTTTCGTAACAATTTCTTAACAATTCCCTCCCCAACTTTTTATTAGAATATCTTTTATCCATTTGAAAATATCAGCATGTTTTTAATGCTCTGTGCTTACAGAAGAAATGGACTATGTAGTCTTGGTTCTGTAGGTTTAATTTGTGACCTTATCCAGTTTAGGCTACAGTAGAGAAATTAGCTTTCTGTGAAGACATTTTACATATTTACATATTTGTTGCTTGTACGTTTATCTAATAAAGTACAACTTAGATCTACATTATCATATAGTTGCATCTTTATCCTTGTATTAGCATAAACCATTATGTCAGTGAATTTTCCCAGCATCTCTTCATGTCACAGCAATAGTACTGTCATTGACATTGTTCTGAGGCCTTTTGTTTTACCTGTCTGAAAGGAACCAGCAAAGTAATTGTTGTGGTTGAAGTGTCCTTCATGTTTGTCATCTGCACTTTGTGGTGAATGAATTAGTCATAGTGTTAGTCTGATACCGTTTTGTGGGTATTGTGATGGCTCTAGAGAAGTCAGTAAACTTATTTCTGGTGATACTGTAGTAACGATGTCATCAGACAGTGTCACTTGTAAGATCTGTATATTGTTCTAAATTTAAAGGAAATTTAAAGCTTAGTATCAGAGTAACATTAAGTAGGGTATTTTCATGGTATAGTATAGGAGCTTACCACATTACTGAAATGATTTAGTATGTCAAAAAGTCTACATTCTAAAAGAGTTATTTTCGAATGGCTAACAGTACTGATGGTAAGATTCTTCTCTTGAACACAAGAGAAGCTCTCCAAAGCATAACATTGTTTGATTCTGGCAAGGTTTTCTGATATGTGACCTGAATTTTAATACCTGTTTTGAGGTAGTTCAAATGGAGTTTATCAAAGACACCCTGTTTCCTGGACCAGAAATGTTGAAATGACTTGTATCAAAATGACATGTGTTGGTTATTCAGTACCTAAAATCAGCAATCACATTCTCAAATGTGGTTCTTCTGTACCTGCCTGGCTGTGCTCTTATGTTTCTGTTCAAATTGGGGTTGTTTTCCTAGCACTTGTTTTCAATAGAACATCCAGCCAATGATGGTCATGTTCTTCCCCTCTGAAAAGAACTGTTAGCTAAAGTTTTGAAGAGCAGATATTTCTAATGGCTTTTGGGTTTCTTCACTACAGTATGTTGTATTTGCTCATTACTTTGCAAGCAAGATTGCTTCACCTCTTTCGATTAGTGAGCCTAGTTTTTGTCACTGTGAATTTCACAGATATTTTCAAAGTGTTGAGTTCACTTTTTTTTGTGACCACAGTATGTGTAGCTACTTTAGGGGAGGCACTGTGTCTATTGTTTGGCCAAAATGATGAACATCTCATAATGGTGAGTCCAACCATTGGCTTCTGTCAAACGGGTGTGAAAGTAGTTGTCATTCCTAGTCTTCACTGCAATCAAACTCTTCTAAAATAAAGAAAAAAAAGACTTACCTTTTAGTGGGGTTCGGTTTTATTATGAATAAGCAAACTGATACAAGTGTTCTTCAAGGCTCTTTTTTTGTGGTTTTGTTTTGTGGTTCCTACCACAGGACTGTTGTGGCCCATGTGTGTTGTATAATGTTATAAGGGCTGCTGCAGCAGTAGGTTGCTGAAGGTTTTCTGTTCTCTTAACTAAAACCAGAAAAAGCTTCCTTCCCTACTACTTCCTAGATGTAGTTCATAAGTCATAAATGCAAAGAATACAGAGCTTGCTGCCTGTTCCTGAGTGGGTGTCTGCTTGTATTTTACTCTTTGTGATAATTTTGTATGATTGGTGGTGTCTGGTTAGGAAAAGCTGAACCATCTCCTGTAGAGAGGAATGCATAGCACCTGCCAGTAGTATTCCTGGTCCATGACCACTTAACCCTTATCCTTCTTTTATTCTCTTTCCGCCCACATCAGAAGCTGATTTTTAGGACTCTTGCAAAGGGCTGCTAAAGTATTCCATACCTCCTTTTAGCGTTAATATTTCCAACCCACCCCCCACTGTTCTTTTTTTCTTTTCTTTTTATTATCATTAAATGTTGGAACAGAAAGTTTCCAAGAGTGTATTGAAACTTCTGGTGCTTCTAGTGATTGGGAGAATTAAACTTGCCAGCAAGACAGTTACCTTATTTATTGTTTAATTTCCTTTCTTCCACTCTGTCAGATACCATCATTTTTTGTATCTGGTATAATAATGTCCAGTGTTGCTTTTGGCTCTTTGAAATACATTTTATTTTGTTGCTGTATTGCATGGAATGATTTCATCAGGACTTGATGCAAGTGATATGACACGGACATATTTTTTAATGGATAATCCTTTCCTAATTTTCCATGCTTTCTTGAAGTGAGTGCTTTCTCTCCTCTGTCTTCAGGGACACAAACATTTCTCTGTATATCTTGTTTCTCACCTGAAGCTAGTTCGCAGATATTTTTCCATGGAAAGGATTGCCTCTCAGACTGTGTATGGAAGTGGGGAATTTTAAATCTCAATTTAAAAACTGACTCTTACAACATTGAATATAGGAGCTAGTAGGTCATGATTAGGTTATTTGCTTTTATTACAATATACCAGTTAGTGATATACAGTCTGAGAGATTCATAGAGTTCAAGGGAGGGGGTTGAAATTCTGACTTGATTGAAACTTTGTCATAAGGTAGCAACTGAAGGGTTTTGTTTTGTTTTTTACAAAACAGCCATTTCTCTTGTGTTTAGAGAGGAGAACTGCTATCCGCCTCTGCCTTATCTCTCTGCCATATTAATGAGAACTGTTGCAAATTGGAAAAACATGAAGCTGGGCATCTTGCCATTTGTATGAAGCCAGTAGTGCACTGAAAAAGAGAAAGATATTAGATTGTTTGAGGTAGCTTGATGTTTGTTCAAAGACCAAATGACTGCCCAAGCTTGAAATTAAGGGCCAGTACTTGGGACAGTAGATCGTGCTATTATACAAGTGTTGAGTGAGAGACAGCTAGAGAGAAAAGAGGTTTCTATATTTGAAATTAAAAAATACAGGATATTATGTAATAGAAAGGACATACATTACGTTTCCCCTACGCACCTGGCACTTTCAGTAACATTTCCTGTTACTGTAAAAGTTCCTGTATATCCATGCCAATTTTAAACATGATTTCCATAAGGTGCACATAACTAACAGCATGTGTTTAGGGGCAATTTTAATTCCTGCAGAAGTCTGCCTTCACAGGTGGACTGATGTGAATTTACAGTGTGGGAGGACTTGGCCTTGTGGCCGATAGGGACCCTGTATCTCTGGGACAGGTGGAAAGCTGGAAATTGGCCTGTCTCTGTACAAAGCCTCCAGTCCAAGTGCATTCAACCTTCCCTTGTTTACAAGCCACTTTCAAACTTCATTTCTATATGCATGTGGCTGGCTGAATCTCTGTTGTGTGTGTATATGTAGATGATCCATATGGCTGTGAGGCTTAGGTGTTTGCTTTTTTTCCTCTGGTATCTTACAAGTGGCATCAAATTGTTCTGTCCCTGGACTCTTCCTGGAAGAAGCTTGTTCTGTGGCTTAAGTTATTTTTGTTTTATTTTTTAAGAATGGGAGAATGATGCTGCAACACTGATCAGGAAATGAAATGGCAACTGAAATTCAGTGGAGATGGATGTAAAATGATGCTTGCAAGGGCAAGTAATTCTCTTTACATAAAGAATATTATGAGCTCTGAGCTATCCTGACATGCAGGAAAGAGACTTTGGCACTAGGGAAGGTAGCTCCACATAAAGGTTAAGTGCTCAGAAGGTAAGATTATTGAGTGAAGGAATAAAGGCGAAACAGAATTATTGATTTAGTTGGCCTGTATTTGGAATATTATTGGCCATTTTGGTCCTTTCACCTTGGGGCGTGGGGCAGGAAAGTAGTAAAAGGATTCATTAGAATTGGAAAAGGCCCAGTGAAGGGGAACAAGGTGTGAAATAATTTCTGCGTGGAGAAGGGTTGACTAGGCTATGACATTTCAGCTTGGAAAAGAGAGGACTTAAAGATGTATGGCGTGTGCAGAGTGGCACCAGGTTTCTAGGGATAAATTTTTGCTTTCTTCCAGTATAAGACCTAGGGGGCCATAAAAATTAAAAAGAATCAGCTTTCAACCAAAAGGTGGCAGGTATTTGCACAGTTTGTGATGGACCTGCAGAACTCGCTGCCATCGGACTATGTGGATGTAAGAAATGTGCATGGGTTCAGTAGAATACTGGATAGTTGGCCAAGAGATCTGTTATGGGCTACTAAAGAGACAAATCATGCCAAGTTCAGGAAGTACTCTGAGCTGTAAATAGTTGGAGGCTACAATAAAATTATGGGACAGGTATACTAGTGCTGTGGTATCAGCTCCATAGGCAGCTGCTTATAGCCACACTTGGAGACAGGATGCTGGGATAGAGGGACCGCTTACTTGAACTAGTGCAGCCATTCCCGTAATCTTGTTTTTAGTGGTGGCAACATACAGTGTCTGCTTTTTGGTGCTGAGGGCAGATCTGAATTGCTAAGGACTCTTGGAATGCGTGTATACCCTTCACCATCTCACTTTAAATCATGTCTGTGGTAATTCGGTATACTTGATAAAAAAAACCAAAAAGCACAGGGATATAAGGGAACCTTTTGTTGTTGCACACTTCCTTAGAAAATGTTCAATCAACAATGTGTGAAAGAGAATCTAGACCTGTCTCTAGACCGCTTTACAAATAAGAGATGATGAGGACTTACCAGCTCTGTCTGTACCACTGTGCGATGAGACGGGGCTGAACTGGTTGTTTGGTTGGATCCTGGGCAAACTCAAGTCAGACTCTTAAGTTCTTCCACATCTGAAAATGGCTCAGAACAGCTTCATATCCTGGACATGTCAAATAGCCCTTATGAGGGTTATGTTTGAACTGTTTGTAGCCTGCTTGTGTCATGCATTGATTGACCTAAACAACTTGAGTAATTTCCCCCGCCCCATTCTTATAGGGTTAGTTAACTGGAACACAGGTTTTTTCTTCTGTAAAAGTAAACCCAGATATTACTTTCTTCAGTGATGGGTAAAAGGAAAAGGAGAATAAGGTCACTGGCTACCCTTTAAGTTATATGAAGGCTTTACTGCATTGCTGTTCTTTGCCTAATTATTGTAGTTATTGGCAATGTAATGCAGGTGAAAATGGCAATGAATAGGTATTGGGGAAAAAAAAAATCAGCTAGGTCCCCTTTTTCAATTTTGCTTTTTTTATATAAGATGCCATACCACGACAAAAATACTTGTCCTCTTGTCCTTATCAGTCATTGTCTTGCCACATCTGACAGATAAGACATCATGCGTCTTGTACACCTTCACTCAACAAGACTGATTTGTTTCTCATAACACTCTGCAGTAAGTGTTCTTGCTTGAAGTCATCAAAGTCAATCCTTGGTGCACTAACTCACTTCTTTCTCTTGAAGATATAGAAAAGAAAGGTAGGGAACATCATGACCCCATCAGCTTTCTAGTTTGGTTCTGAGGAAGTGGAATACCGTCCTAGAAGGACCTCAAGTCTACATGCTTCTGCGATGACCGTTAAATAACGTAATTTGTAGGCGAAATTAAATGCCTTATGAGTCATGGTGTGTTAGCAACTAATTGGATAGGACAGTTTCTCTCTACTACCTCTCAGCCTAAATTATCATGCTTTTTTTGCTGGGTAGTGATTTTTCTCCAGAACTGGGAAATTATGATGAAGTCAATCCATGCCTGGTTCGAAATGATTTTTCTTTGCAGTTAGGTATCAGCTTTGACGGGAAGCTGTTCTTTGCTCAAAATTATGAGTTGATGTTTGAATGTTAGTTGGTATGTGTGCATTCATATAGGTGCTTCTATTACACTCTTTAAGTTGATTTACTTTCTTAGAACATGAATGAGATGATCGTATAGATGACCCTTTTTTGAATCATCAAGCTTGATTGGAAGTGTAATATTTAATTAAAGATAATGAAAATGTGATTGGAAAAAAACTTACAACTTTGGAACAATTAAAAAGTGCATTTGAAAGCTAATTGAGGGGAAAATGTTTTTTGCTTTCATCCTTGTAAGATCAAAGTTGACATCTGATGCAGAGAAGGAGTCTGTGATGATGTTTGGGAGAAATCTCCGGCAGCTGCTTCTGACCAGCCCTGTGAGGGGCCGTACTTTGATGGGAGTAGATCCTGGCTACAAACATGGCTGCAAGTTGGCAATTATTTCACCAACCAGTAAGTTCCAATTCTAAATATTTTTGAAAGGACTGATAAAAATATATTCATTTAGAGGAAAGGATAGTTTCAATACCTACTTTTTTATCAAATTGGGTTTTTTCTTAAGCTTTTAGTGTTTTCCATGCATCCTGTCATGCAAATTCATTTCTTCAGGCTTAAGGTTAAGTTCTGACACCTGGATTCCAGTGTCTCCTTTGGTGTTATTACTCCTCTCTAAAATAGAATTCAAAATCCCTTCTGCCTTCTTGAATACAGGTTCAAATAATTCTGCCTCTCAGTAGTCAGCAAAGAGAACACCTGGCACTTTTATTGTTTAACAAAGAACTTGAATTTAAATACTTTCTATAACTTTGCTGGTTTTCATGGGTAATATCTTGGACATCTGGATACTTTATCAGCCCTTTCTGTTTAGTAGTATGTGTGTTAATGTGAGAAGTCAGAAACATTGTATTTGCAGAACTTTTTAGTTCAGTTTTTAGTCAGATATAGAACAGAGCCTTTCCAGTTCATCCTGGTCTGATCTGGGGATACATACCTCTTTAGGCCCATGTGAAAACAGTTTGTTTTCCTTTTATTTTGTTGTTGCTTTTTCTCTGAGAATATATCCACCCAGGGTGGGTGTAAGGACAGGTGTGTTCTTGACCCATGTTAAAAGGGCAGTAAGGTAAGGTAAATGGTTTTTAGCTTGCATTGCACCATAAGCTATCAGTACCAGTTAATAAAGAGTTATTTCTAAGTGTGGTAGATGGGATGATGGCAAGAGCTGGCATTGGAGTTTTAGAGCTCCTGGACTGCAAGTCCTGAGACTGCATTCCTAATTTTCATCTCTCTTTACTGGATCTATAAAATGTACTAGACTAGAGCAATAAATCTTTTGCAGTGAATTGCTGTTTTATAATACACTTTATTTGCCTGATATGACTAGATGCTTATTATTTGTTATGTGGATATGTCCCCAGAGAACTAGAAAACGTTTCAACTCATTTTGCTTTGGCAGCCAAAGCATTTTAGTCCTCTGCCCACCATGCATTTATTCTAATTGGATACAAAAATAAAAGGGAACAATGGCTTATTAAGAAGCTTTCTTTGTGAATCATCAAATTAACTTCAGTAGTTTGCAGGATGTAGCTTTTGGATATTTGTGTTTTTTATCAAATGGCTTTCCCGTTCATTGTTCTAGGTCAGATACTCCATACTGATGTCGTTTACTTGCATTCTGGTCAAGGATTTCGTGAAGCTGAGAAGATAAAGAGGCTTCTGCTACAGTACAAGTATGCTAAAGAAACTTCCATTTATTACTCCTTACCAAACGTGGTGAAAATCTTCACTATATAAATACCTGCTTTTGGGTGGAATAAGAATTCTAATGATTTAACTGGAATTATTCTTTTTTTTTTAGGTAGTTCAGAGCTTGTTTTTCTTTTAGTCTATGTTCCTGCTTTTACACTATGTATATGTAAGAAGCATATGAAATCAAGCCATGGCTATGACTAAGACTGCATGCTATGAACGTATCCTCATAAAGCTCTGTCAAGCCATTTATTTTTAGGAATAGAAATGAACATTCAGCTAAGGAGTAAGTTTAGCCTCACTCTTCCTACCCCTCCACAACCCCCAAACCACTCATCGATCTTTCCCTGTTCCAAAAGCCACATTTAGCCTTTGGAAGAGTTTTATTAAGCAAAGGAAATCCTGCTCAGATAGATCTCCAGATGGACTTGCAAATAGGGGCAGCATGATTAAAGGGTTATTGTATCCAACTGTTTTGGGATCCCCTGTGGACAGACATCTGGTCCACTGAGTCAGCTGCTGAACTGCCACAGCATACAGTCCAGTTTGTCTTTAAGCATTAGATTGGCTTTAAACAAGGTGATTTGATGGCTGACTGGCTGTGGTGGGGGCAGTCAGAGGCAATGACCTTGCAAGCTGTTGCAAACTATGATGTTCCCATTAAGGAATTAAGATTCTGATTACTTGGGCTTTTTCATGGTTCATAACAGATGAGGGAAACAGGAGGTGAAAGGGTTTGAGACTGTAAATAACATTACTTCATATTCATAAGAGAAATGTATCATTTTTGGGTTTTCTGCAGATATTACCACTGTTCAATTCCATTACAAATGAGTGAAAATTTTGACTCATCTCTTGCACTGTCACATTGAAAACCTGTTAAACACAATGTGATATTACTAGGAATACATTCTCATTAAATCTGAACCTTGTATTATATAAAATAAGATGTATTGGTCATTGTTGTGCATAGAATGCTATGTATGAAAAAGTCTAAAAGCATAATTAAGACTAATTGTTCATCTTTTTACTCCATGCAAAGCTGTAGCACTGTCGTGATTGGCAATGGCACAGCCTGCAGAGAAACAGAAGCTTACTTTGCTGACTTAATTATGAAGAAATATTTTGCACCACTGGACGTTGTTTACTGGTAAGATCACTTTGCTTGCTGTGATACTGTAATTTTTTGAAGTGTTTCTTTTTATTGCTTTGTCTTTCTTTTTTGAGTCAAGCTTGACCCATCCTTGTAGCCAAAGGAAAATGGCTGTAGCTCTTTGGAGCATGAAAGTAGTTCTCCTGAGTCGGTGAGAGAGACTCACTGAAGCATTTTATTTTCTCTTCCTGAGGTTCACTCCGTTGCTATTATCATTGTAACAAAGTATGCGAGAATAGCAGCTCAAACAGCCAAGGGCCTGTGTTTGGCATTGTGTGTTTATTTCTTGATAAATGAGGTTAAATGCAAATGCTAAAGCTTGTGTTGTCTGACTATGGTATGGAATGCTTCCTAATCCTATGGGTATTAAATGATCTGGAAATAAATATTTTTGTTAATACTTGGCAGAAAGTAGTGAAGGTATTTGTCCTCTTTAAACTTCAAATTTTATCCATTAGTCTGTTGAATTCAAACTATTATCACTTTCTTTTCTCCTATGCTCTTTGTTTTTAATTCACACCTTTATTTTTTTAAAGCATTTTTGGTGATTTACCTTGGATTATCTTTTGTGCTGAAATTTAACATCAGTATTTACTTTTCACTGTCTTAACATACTGAAATAAGTTACCTAACTTTTTGAAAAAGTTACAGCCTTTCTTTGTTCAAACTACTATATACATTTAATGGAGCCTTTTCTCCATAGATTAGGAAGTTATCTTACAGAAATGTTCAACAAATGTATTATTCCTGTTAACTTATGCTATCATTTAATTGCACTTGTTCTTTGTTTCTAAGATTTCTAAGTAAGTTTGCAGCAAGACCTGATACTTAAATCTCCTTTTTATTTCAGGAGACATAGTAGGGTTTTTCTGATTTTGTTTGCAAAGGAAGGAGGCTGTTCAAGCTTCTGAAAAATTAGGCACCCTCCTTCCTGAACCCAGCTCGAAAACAGTGGATTTTTAATGACTGTAGAGAATGGAAAACACTTCATACTGTATGGTTTTTTGGCAAAAGTTTAATTTCACTGTTGTTCACTTCATGTAGTTTAAAAATCCATTATGTTGACATAAGCACTTTGAAACAGTAATAGTAATTTTATTTATTCATTGATCATATACTACAAAATATAAATAACTAGTTTACACAGAAAAATGTATTTATATAATACTGTGGTGGATGGTTTTCTGACTGTGTTTTCCTCTTTTGCTTTAATATTTTCTCCCTGTTTATAGTTCAAGATTATAGAATTTGCAGAATAATTATCAGTATTGTTTTTTGCGTTTTGTTTTTTTGTTTGTTTGTTTTTTGGCTGGTAGCACTACCAAGTTCTTGGAACTGATGAAAGGTCTTGTGAAATAGGAATTAGTATAAATGCTCTAAGGCAGAAGTGAGGTTATCAAGTTGGTTGCTTTTTTCTAGTAGTGACAGATATATAAATGCAGTTGTTTAACCTGCAAAATTAATTCCTGGAAGTGAAAATTAGCATAACCAAAACCATTTTTGCTTTCAGTATATATTTATATTGTTAATGGTTTTCTTGCACTGTGCTCATATATGGTGAAGAGCCAGTCCCTACTTCAGAATTCGTATGCAGAACACCGATGTACTGCATATTAAAATAAAAATCAGCAGAATGTAATTTTTTTTTGTACTGCATGCTATAGGTGCTGTTGAACTTTGTAGACTGCTGTTTGTGTGTACGTTTATATATATGTGGGTTTACAAATAAGCTGGGCTTGCAGTCCTTGTGTCTCTCTTCACATTTTGACAGTCTTGACTGAGTTTCTTTCTTGAAGATTGGGGTTCCTGTGTTGCCCTTTCTACCTAACTCATTTTATGTGCATCTCATTGCATTATTCACTGCTGGGGTTTTGCAGCCATGCCACTGAATCCCGCAAGACAGCTACTTTATTTGCGTTCTAGCTCCAGAAAACTTTCTCCTTAATCTCCTTGGTAGTAACAGAAAGCAATGATGAGTCCAGACATCCGTGCCCCCCACTTCTGATAATCCAGTGAAATGCCTGGAATTTATGTCAGTCTAAGTACAAAAATGTAAGTGATACTTGTTAAATGAGGAGCAATTAGTACAGAATTATCATTTGAGCCATAGGTGACAGTAGGCATACGTTGTGAAAACTGCTGTACCTCTTGAGGGGAACTATGAAAGATGACTTGGAAGAATGTGCTCTGCTGATCATCTTTTTTTAAATAAAAAAGGCCCCCAGAGCATGTGCTCTTAGATCACAAAAACACTTTACTGTTTCCATATACAAAGTCTTCCCTTGATTATGTTGTTTTCTCATGATAGGGGAAAATGAGGTCTTTGTTTATACATAGGCTGAATACAGATCTCTAATCAGTTCTGTGGAAAGCCATGGTATGCTTTTGGATCAAGTGATCTTTATAAATTGTTTTCCAATTCAAATCTCTAAGAAACAATTTAAGTAATGTTGGAAAAGTTCATTTCTAAAGAAGATCTGCTTCAGCAGATTGCAGTTGTAACTAAAAAATGGATTTGTAGATCAATTTAGTGTTTGAACTGTAAAATAAAACCAAAACACCACCAAACAAAACAAAAACCAGAACAAAACAAAAACCTTCCAGTACTTAAACTGTGACAGAATGAGTCAGTTGCATCTAACGTGATACCATTTCCCAAGCATTCAGGGTCTTGCGGTGACGCGCTGACCTGCACCAAGGTGGAAATCCTTGCCCAGCAAAACAGAACTCAGTTTATTGCTGTGTGCAAGTTTCAGAGAACTGCCAATTGTATTTGTGTTTACAATCTTTCTCCTTTAAAAGGAGTTGAAATGTAAAGTGGCTTGACAGATGAGACCGGATTGTTTTACAGTGCTTTAAAACCAAAATCCCAGTCAAATTCTTAAGCTGTCATTCAGAAAGGTGGCTGATAGAGAGGTAATACAGACTTCGGCTTCCTTGGCAAATAAAGCTTGTAATATGATACTACTTACATTTTTTTGTTAGAAGTGGAGAATAGGATCAGAAATTATTATAAAAAAATAAAAATCTGTTCCTACTTTTATGTCCAGTTCATCATATGGAACTTGATTCATGCATTTCCAGGGAAATGAGACAATAATAGTCTGTAATTTTAGAAAGAAGGTGTGTGCAGTTGATGAATGCACAAATAATCTGGACAGGTATTCACTCTAATGAAGGTTAGTGATAATAAACAGCTGAACACTTAATTGATTGCATGTATGTGCAGTACATGATGAAATATGCTGAAATAGTCTACTACTAAAGTCCTGTACAATAACTTCAGAATTGTGCATGAAGTTATTCCTTGGCTTCAGTATCCAACTCTAGCGAGTACTTAACTACAGACTTAAATGAGAACACCATTTCACCTTCTTTTAGTTGTGTGGCAAGAATCAAATTAACTGATTCTCACTTTAAAATATTTCAGTTGTATCAGTACTAAGAGACTTCCAAAATAATTTTCTTTCAGTTCCTCTCAAAAATACTGCAATATTTTATTTGACTGCTTTGTCTTTTTTAGTGCTAATAAATATATGAAAAGCAAGCAATTAAAATAAAAGATCCTCAGCAATGGCGAGTACAAACTATGTATAGTTTTACTGAAGTTTTCCAAGGAGAAGACAAATCGGTGAAGACTTTAGTAGGAAATGAGGCATATAGCACAATTTTTTGTGTGGCTTTAAAACCTGTCTGGACTCAGTTTGACAGTTTTTGATTTAAAGCAAATATTTTTCACTATTTTTGTAACCAACATGCTTTCAGATACCTACATCCAACCTAAATAACTGCAGGACTCTTTTTTTTTTTTTTATAATGTAGTTTCCCTTTTAGAGCTATGTTTATTGACTTAGATTAGGACTGGACTAGAGCCCAGAGACAGTCATATCTAGTCTTCAGGTTTTTCGTTACAAATCAGTTTTTGTTACAAGGTTCAATAAATATCCTTGATTATTTATGTTAGTTCTATTGTGAGTTCTTGCCAAAGATACATTGTATTATAACCAAAACAGATGTTCTGCTTTAGACAAGTGTATTTGTTTTAACAGGACCAGAAATGTAAATGAAACAACAGTGTGTTCAGCATTAACATGGCAGATGAACTTTTAGGATTTCACTGGCCTTTTTGGATTAAATGAAAATCTTGAAAAAAATATTTCAGGAATCTCATTCCATATTTCGATCACTGCTGCTGAGTTTTTTTTGATTGCTGTTGGTGTAGGCATCTTGGAAATGAAAGCTATGATGGGTGAACTATGCTAGAGCAGGACAACATGAAAAGCTCAATCATCGTATTTGGAAAAATAAAATCACAATTTTCCTTTCAGTCTCAGTGGTTTCATTGTCGCAATACAAACATTCTTGCTGGTCTGACTTTTCTTATGTGCTTGTTACATTAATGCACACTCAGAATGAAGTATTTCAGCTCACATTTAAAAGAAAGTTTGATAGGTATCATGAATTGTTAATAGTTTTCAACAAGCAGTAATGCAGCCAGGCAAGTGTATTTTTTTGTTGTTTTTTAGGTGACTTGGTGTTTAATTTCTGTCATACTTGGTTTTAAAGTTGATAAAAAATCCTTTTCTGCCACTTTCAGCAAAATCTTTTCTTGCTCTTGAGACTTTATAAGCAACGTAATTAATAATTTACTGCTGTTTAAGTTCAAACACTTCTGTACTGTGACAAATAGGGGAAAGTCTGTAATGTCTTGTAAAGTTCTCATTGGGTTTTCTTTAATGTTTAAATTGTCTGCTTTAGAATACTTAGAAATGTTCTGCTAAGGTAGAATAGGACTGTTTAATACCTTTTGAAGTTGGACCTTGGTGGCAAGAAATTGATTTGGAAATGTTTGTTCTACAGGATTTTAGGTCCACTTGTATTTTATAGGTGTCTGCACATGCTTTAAATATCCTTTTCAATTTAAATGTGTGTTTTATGTTGTTGAATATCTACATTATACTCTCTCAGCTTTAACAAATGCCACTTTCAAGTTCCAT